AGTGGAGGAATATCCAAGAAAGACATATTTAAGAGCTCTAGGACCAAATTTACCCCCGTATGGAAATAGGTAATGCACGCAAATATTTTTTAAGTGAAAAAAATTTAATAAGATACTTTATGGAATTTTTTAAGCCAATCTCTCTTGAACTATTGATTAGATATGTAATAATTACGACTGCTTCTCCACAATATTGTTTTAGCACTTAATTCTAGAACAAAGGAATTTTAGTGATTTTCATAATTTAATGATTTTACTTTTATGTCACTTTATTTTATTGAGAATGGTGAACACAGATGGATTGATTAATATTACATCCTTTTTGGAAGAAAGATGATAATGCATGATTAAAGTAATCATGAGCATTATCAATTTGAAATATTTTGATATTAGTATTGAATTATTTTTATATCATGGAAGCAAAAAAGAGGAGAGTAATGCTTACATTAAATTTGTATATGATGGGATATACCTAGTCATCCTAGTGCATCAACAACAAATGTGACAAATCCTCTAACTTTAAAATATTAGAGATTTTAAAAAGTCTACATATGTCAGAGTAAACAATTAGAAAAAGGAGCAAAAGACCTAGATCAGTTTTAAAAAAAAAATAACACAATAATTTTTGGTAATTTCACAAATCTCAATAAATATTTTTTCTTGTTTATATTCAAAAAAGAGAAGGAAACATACATGATAAGGTTTTGAAAGAAGGATATCCTAGCCTATAATGGCATTCTCACCTTTTGTATTACTAGTGAAAATAAAGAAACATGAAAAGCAGTTTCCATCTTGAAGAAAATATAATCTATCATTATTCTAGCCTCACCCATACTGATGTCCCAAACTATATAGCGATTAGCAAAAAAAGTTACCTTTTAGTTGTGGTCTTTAGTAATTCTATGAATTGATAAAAGATTCATTGTAAGATAAGGAACATATGGTACATTATTGAAGGTAAATGTAGAAAAAATTGAAACATTTTCTTGACCTGTAAAGTTCTTAAATAAAATTGACCATTTTTTTTTATTGCTAGGGCAGAGTTTGTTGGTTTGAAAAAAGTTGGCAAAATTGATCCTGTGATCATGGCTCTTGAATCTAAGATCCAAATGTGAGGAAAATTATTCAAGATATTGAAAAAACTAGAGTTACAAGTTATACATTTTGAGCTAGAAAGGATGAGCTTGATGGTTTTGTCAAAAAATTCAGGAAGTTTTGGACTTTTTTAATGTCCTCTGAATTAAACCCTTTTAATTCAACAAAATAGGTATATTCCTTTTGGTGACATTTATTTCCACTATAGTTTGGGGTTTTCATTGGAGTTTCCATTATTTTTCTTTGATGTGTCATTTCTTCTTGCAGTAGTTGAACCATAGATTGCCTTTGGAAGCAAACTTTTATCTTTTTTTAGGGAAAGAGTATGTAAAAGTCCATTAGCTTGATATTCGATAGCTGTCATGGCAGATATTTTGGAGATCAGAGCATCAAACATTACTATCCTTTTTCCTATCTCATATGAGAGGAAAAAAATCTCATTTAGTAATGGTGGGTTTTCTCTGCTTAAAATTTGGACACTAATTTGGTCAAAGTCATTATTGAGTCCTGCAATAAACTCAAACACCATTTATCTTTCTACAAATAACTTGAAAATTACCGCATCATCGCAACATGTACTATTGAGATCTTGGTAATAATCAAGTTCAAGCTAATAAACATTCATTGTAGTTAAGTACTTAATAATAGAAAATTTACCTTGCTTAATTGTTAAAATCTTAATTTTGATCTCATAGATAAAAGCATCTTTTACTTTCGGAAATATTTGTTTGACAGGGTCTCAAACTTCTTTTGAGATAAAAAGGAACATATATGGCCAATTAATTTTAGGTTGAAAATTATATCATGATCAGAGAGTCCACTTCATCCAAAAGTACAAACTCTAGATCCTTTGACTCCTAAGAAGGATCTACAATATGATGGATCTTTCACTTTTCTTTTAGAATGGTGATGTAAAACGATCATGCAAAGTTGAATTACTTGAAGAGTTTGCACGCTTAAGTGTTAGAAGCCATAATAATCATATCTTACAATGAATTTTCTAACGACAAAAGAAAATACTAAGAGAAGCTTAGGTTGAATCACACGCGTAAGAGTTAGGATCAGAAAACAATCAAGTTAATCTAACATTGCATACATGAATGGTTCAACGTAAATCCCTAAATTAACAATGAGATTAGGCACTATGCACGAGTCCCTCACTCAACTCTCTAGTTATCTAAGCTTTAGCGGGGAAGAATTAGCATGATCTTTTGTGAATCAACATATAACCACAAGTGATAAGTGAACTAGGAAGATAAGAGAGTTTGGTGGAAGAGTTTACCTACATGAAACAGAAGACACGAAGCTTTGGTGTCGACGATGGTTGTTTCTGCAGTGGGACAAGCAATCGGGATCTTTCACAAGCCTGAACAGCTCCTAGGAGGGATTGGGAGTCATCGGCCAGCAGGGCGTGGACTCCAGGAGGGCTGGACAGCAGTTGGGCTGGTTGGACAGCAATGGAAAAGTGCATAACTTCCCTGGACAGCGATCCCGGCAACTTGGACAGCAATTTTCCCAATCTCTGGAGTTCTGGACAGCAGTGTTGACAATGGAAAAGTTCTGGATAGATTATAGAATCCGTCCAGAAATCTGGACAGTAAATAATACGGCTTAGAGAAGCCTTGGACAACTGCTATAGGGTGTAAGGAGCTTCAAGACAGCAAATCATGACTCCCGAGGGTGCTGGACAGCAAGGCGTTTTGCTGGAATTTCGTGAACAGCTTGCAGGAATCTCTAGGGAGAGAGAAATCAAAGAGAAGAAGGGCTGGGAGAGGGCGGCTAGGGCTGTGGTGGATTAGGGAATTGATTGGAGGATTAATTTGGCTCAATTTGAATTTGAATGAGGGCTTAATTTGGGGAGTTAATAAGGGAGTAATAATGACTAGAATTAATGAGATAGGAGAGAGGGAGGGATTTGGGGAGAGGATTTGTAACTTCCAAAATAATTTATGTCATTTAAGAAAGAGAATGACAACTCAAATCTAATTTGAAATTCAAATAGACTTGGAGTTATGCACTTTCCTAATTTAGATTTGCAAATAAGGAAAGTTTTTGAAATTTCAATTTCAATTTTCAAATTGAGGAAATGGACTAATAAATCTAATTTGATTTATTTTGAAATTGAATTCATGATTGATACTTTCGTAATTTGGGATTCCCTATATGGAAAGAATTTGAAATTCCCTTTCAAATTTTCCCTTTCATTCTTGAGCTAAATTAGGAAGTCATTATGGTGATTGAAATCATCATAATGAGGGGGAAATTATGAGGGGGGGCGGCGGCAAAGGGGAAAGGGGGCGGCTAGGTGGCGGGTTGTGGTTAGGTAGGTGGGTGGGATTTAGGCGGTGGAGCTAGAAGATGAATTGGGTGGAGGAGGGAATTCGATGCAAGAAGAAAATAAAAGAACAAGAAAGATAAGAGTACCGCGAACCTTGGAATCCACCAAGATTGACAGGTATTACTTTTGCCCACTTGGGCCTCTCCTCTCACGAACTCACTAAGAGATCATCCCAAGAGAGAAAACTTAGAACTCACAAAGAGATCCATAAGCACAAGTTGAAAATTTCATATTAATCATCATCTAGTACAATGCATGAGGCCTCCTATAAATAGGCCAAAATGAAATAAAAACTAAAAGACATAAATGCACTCGAGGCTATAATATCAAATGATCACTCATAAGGGTAAAATGGGAAAATATTAATAACTAATACATAAGACATAAAATAAACTCTCGATCGCAGCCGTTGATCTTCTTATGTCCTCATCAAATGGTCTTCACAATTTGGAACTATTTCAAATAGTTTCTTTCGTTCAAGTGATATGAAGCTTGCAGCCCTTGGAGTTCTCCCTTAGCCTAACTTTTTATCTTTCATGATAGTTGATTCTTTACAAAAGAAATCAAAGAAACCAGACATAATATAGATAAGAATCCCAACAATAAGAAAATAGAATAAATGTCGAAAGAACTAAACCCTAACCTCGCATGTAGAAAAAAAAATTATTTTCAATTTTATTACTTAATTTTGTACAAAGTGTGAAAGTATATATAGACTTCTTCAAAAGTCTTACAATGAAAATAAATTAAAGCTAATACAAAAAAAAGTCCCCAAGTGTGGGTAGCGGCTAGAAGAGGAAAATGAGGCACACATATTATAATCTAACAATCATAGGATGATCGAAACCAATGGTATTGCTAATAATTAATATCCCATTTCCTCAATTTGAATTATTTTCAATTTTATTGCTATAATTATTAGAACTAAATTAATTACTCCTAAATTGCTAATAATTAATATCCCATTTGAGTGCACTCCAAGTTTCATGCTTCAAGTAAACCCCTTTTATATATTTTGGTTGCATAGCCAAGCGAAGTTATGCATGTGAAGTCCAATTTAATAATTATAGTTATTTCTTTAAGGAAAAGAAACAACTCCACTCGGATCCACGAAAACGTTGTGGTTACTTGGACTTTAAAATCCTCTATATAATTGGGCTCATGGTTGCAAGAAAAACAACATCTCAATTCTTGCTAATTGATTTATTCACAAAAATTTGGTGATTCAGAAAAAATATTGCAAAAAAAAACATATTAGTTTAATTGGCCTTGTATTGAAATAATAAAAAGCAAACAAAAACACCCCAGACTTAATATAACTCTGTAAGGCGTGAGGGATGAAATAAATCTTAAGGCCTCAATATTATGTATAACTAAATCTTGGGAAAGTAAAGGATTAAAGTTAAAGTTTGATTAGCTCAACAAGCCATCATAAATGTTATTTGGCAGGCATAGACGCTTAGTCCATATCCAATCTCAATTAATCTGAAACCAAACATGAGCTTAAAAGTAAAAAAGGGAATTTAAAATATAAAACTACTAGTAAATAACAAAAAACATCACCAACCTTCTGACTCTCATTGAGAGATTCAGCTGAGAAATACTGTCCATTAGCAATCAGTCCCGCAAATTCATAAATGTTGTTGAAGATGGCCCCAACATTCCTAGTTTCCTCAGAGTAATATATGTAGTATTTTCCACTGAGAGCACAGGTCTTGGCATGCTCCACAAGAACATCCCACATCTTATTTGACATGCCGCTTCCAAGGATCTGCAATCATATGAAATTACATATTAGAGCATGCAGGTATCATAGATTTCAAATAATTACAAAATCCTCAAAATTACATTTCTCAATCTTTGATGATCCCTAACAAAGAGCCGTAGAAAATCTTCAACTGAATGAATTGCAGCTTTATTTAACTTCTTGTGGAATGCACCATCTTTCCCAATCTTCTCCAATCTCCATACCTCATCTTTTAAAGCAGGTGGGTAGTGTTTTTTGTATACTACACATAATTGGATAGGAAAGTTAAGGAATAATTTCTACCAAAAACTAATCAAATTAGAGTTATTAAATCACATACATTCTCCTCTGTGATCCTTAACCGTAAATGCTTCAGTTTTTCCCTCCCGTATTCGCATACCCTCACAACATCCAGAGGCAATCTTCAAACCAAGCCTAAACTTCCTACTTCTTATCCAGCTTGAATTATCAGTAAATATTAGTTCTCCAATGGTTCCAACACCTTCTTTCAAAGAAATCTGTAAATCACCAGTTAGAAGGGGTCTCTTTCCATCCCGTTCTTTTACTACATGACTTTCAAATTCTTCTTCATCCCAGTCATCATCATCTTCATTATTAAAATCACCCTCAAGCACCAGAATATCAAGTTTTGCAGAAGACTCGAGTCCAGAAGTTACAACATGACCATTGTTGGCATCAATCAACACAATGTGAATTGTAGCTCCTTGATCTCCCTCTACCTTTCCTCCTGTGAAAATTGGTAAAGACAATTTTGACTTGAACTGCAGCTGTAAGTTTCTTCCATCTGGTCCTTCCAGCTGCTTTGGAGAAGACCTGCACCATTTTGAGATGCTAAATCCATGCCAACATTGATAATGCAATTTTACCCATGATATGATATGCTCTATCAATTAACTGAAGTTATTAGACCAGACGAGAAGAATTCAGAACAACGGACACCTTTGAATCTCATCATCTCTTCAACTTGATATAAAAAAATGCTTAAACCACAAGCAAATAATAATTCATAGTTTGAAGTTCAAGATCAAACTAATTGCAAAAAGAAGGAACATTCAAACATAGTTTGAAGGTCCAAAAAGCTGCAAATCACACACGCTAAAAGATTGCAAAAATCTTATTTATAGCCATATAAAGAGTTTCAAAGAAAAGCACCAATTGACATTAGTCGTATCGTAATGAGAGAATTTATCCAAAAGCAAAGACACCAGCCATAAACAGTTTGCACAAGGCCTAACATCTACCATAAGTCAATCCAATGAAGTTAATCAAGAAGTGATTCGCAATCGGGCAAACATCCTTGTCTCAAAGCATGATTGCAGCTAAAACATTTTAATCAATTGATGCACAAACACTTTGAATGCATATAAAACAATTCTAGTTCAACTCAGACCATATGTTTTGACATTGGAATAAAAAATTGGCTCTATTTCATTTGTACATTGGATGTTGATTCCATGTTTCGCGGCAAGTAAGTAGTCATTCAATATAAGGGCACGAGAAGAGAACAGTAACACAACATGAAAGATTACGAACATAAAATTGTATAAGAGCAGCAATAACAACACGATTTGAAAACCCCTCCATAAATAAAAATCTTTAAAAAAACACTGGTTATTTGTTGCAGCAGAGAAAGTTGATCGCTCAAAACTTAGGTTTCTAGTAAAACGCTAATATTTAGCTACAAATGACATTTAATGAATGCGAACAAGGCTACAAATGTACATTCACAAAGACAATTGAGTGAAATAGCTTGTAGAAACAACCCCGGCATGCTGGCCCAGCCGGCAAAATATGAAATTTTGAGCTTTTCTTCTAAAAGATGTGAGAGTCAAGAAAACATATAAATTCATCTTTACCAAATACATTAAAAAAAAACTGAAATGGTCATACCAAGACATTCTAGCTTCATAATAATAATAATAATAATATGCACATTCCAATGTCATACCTTGCCCCAAGCCTAGCAGGGCCTAGCTTTGCTAATGCACGCTCCACTTCTTCACTGACCTATATGATAAAAATAAAAAAAGAAAGTGGAAAGTGATTGCCTAAAATCAAGTTAAAGAACAAAAAAATACATATAACAACTCGAGCAAATATGTGGAGCATTGAAATTGAAACATCTCAAGTCTACCCATTAGGCCATCTATTCAAATCTGTAAATCATGGAAAATATTATTAGCCCAAAAGTAGCATTCCCAATCAATGATAGATTAAGGAAATTAACTTAAAAGAACAATTTGTACAGCATTCAAACACAAGAAACAACATCCTGATTTTGCACGAGATAGGAAAGATCTGAAAACACCTCAGAATAGTTAAAGCCCAAAGAGAAAATTTTGATAGTGAACAATAGCGCTTGCATTACATAGAGTCCAATAGTACATATTTTATTATATCTATCATAGTTGCTCAGATATTAAATAATATTGAATAATTAATGAAGGAGTTGATCACTTAGTGTACATGATCAGGGAGGTCGAGCTAGTGTAGCTAAAAGAGCATCAAGAGGCTGATAGACCGATGCATCCACTTCCTATCAGAGGCGTTCACTAATAACATCACTCTAGAAGGGTGGTCACAAAGTGCCATCTCAAGCCGGCTACATCAAAAGGGGTCAAGTAAACCACATTGGGACTTGTAAATCACTCGGGATAGCTACATTAGCATGGCTCCACCATAACGTAATGGGCCAGCAACAAGGACAGCAACACTAAAGGACAAGTTACAATTAGGTGAGAAGGGCACACAAAGGTGGGCAGGCCTTGGCTAAGCCATCCACCTCACCAAGTTCGCATCTTGAGCATCCATTGATTCAAGAAGCGTATGTAAATTTTTTTATAATTTTAGTACTAATTCATCTCTAATAGATAGATGTCATTTGTAATTAATATATTAAGATAGATATCTCTGGCCCTCACCAAAAGGCCTTAAACAGTATCATGTCATTCAACATGATTGATGAAAATTTAAAGAGCGGAACAACATAGTCTGTGCAGGCTAATACCATAAAATAGGGGTAAAAAGGTCGCAGCTCTGGGTGCTTAAGTGCCTTCAAATATGATTAGAATAAATCATAAAGTATGTTTATCTCATTCCTGAATCAACCAAAATAACATGCTATGAAGAAACAAAATATTATAGAAAAAATAGGTATTATATTAACTTCGGATAAATTAATGTGTTTCTAATATCTTCATTTAGGTGCATGCCAAAGTGTCAATATGAATACTGATTTGGATGACAAGTCGATAATGGTAATATTAATGGCACAAATAAAAAAAAATGTTGAGGGAGTAAAAGATTTTCCATCTTACAATCCGACGAAGCACAGGCTCTAATGATGAACAAAGTTTCTGCAGGCTATCCAGCTTGAGAGCTTCCACAATCACGCTGGAGAGGATTATATATATTTTTTCAATAAGCAGCTGAAGCAACATATATGAACCTATATAGCAAAATTAATTATAACAAAAAGAAATAACATAAACCTCTAGATTCATAACACTTCAACAAAAGAAGAAAATAATTGGAAGGAATTCAAAGTTCAAATTTATCAAGCTTTTTCTTTTTCTAGATAAGAAAAGAAGAAAACACATGAATAAATGATGAAACTTCACAAGCATCAACATAGCCCATTACTCCAAAATAAGCTTTTCCTTGATAATATTTCAAAGGATTAAAATATGATAAAACAACACAAGATAGTTTGGGAAAGTTTCAGTAGGGTAAATAATGGCCTAGTAAAGTTTAGCATCATGGAGAAAATAATAAATAGTTTTTTTTTTCTTTTTTTTACAAAACAAAACATGTGCCTCTTCAAATCCCTCTAAAGTTGAGCATCCCATAAAGTAAAACTCAACAATTCATTACCAATATTCAATAGTGGAATATAAAATAGAACTGCCTCTAAAGTGAAATTACTCACTATTGACATTAAAAATCTTTTATAAGAGCATGTCTGTCTTTTCATCACCACCTTCATCATCATTAACCTTATCCCAACTATTTAGGGATAGCTTTCTGAATTCTCAATCTCCATTCATCTCTATTGAGTGTCACAAAAACTATTTAAAGCTATTATATACAAAAAAAAAATTAATGCTTCTACCAAAAAAAAAAAAACTCATTAATCTGCTTTTTTTTTTCTTTCTAACATCTTGATATTAATTTTATCTATTCAACTTATTGCTACATCTTCTAACATTAGTTCTATAATCTTAATTATGCCCGTCTATCTTGTATTATCTTATCTTCAATAGATGTTAGCCCCACAATCTTTCTAATACAATAATCATTCAATCTATAATTCCTACTTTTGCTAAATGTAAATATTAACATTCTCTATTTTTTATAGGAAATGAAAATTTACAATTAAAAAATAGAGGAACAAACAAAGCATAAGCTAGAAAACAATCAACTTTCACTGGATATGAGGTGCTAAAAATAACATACTAAATACAAGTTCAACTCTGATTATCCCAGTTGTATTTTATTTTAATCACTATGGAATAAAAAATAATATGCATCTTCCTTTGTTGTAACCCAGCCAATCCCAATTTAGAAACCCAAGAAAACAACCCGGATCCAAGACGTACTTCAAGCACAAACCATATATTTAGCAGAAGCTGAATTTCAACCCTAGGTATCACAAATGCAACAAATGGGAATAAAAAAACACAAATTCAGGCCTCTTTACAATCACATAAACAATGTAGTAAGCTTCCTTTTGAACACAAAAGTATACAAGCAATTCTTGAAAATAATACTTGATAAAAAGTAAGAAAAATAAATAAATAACCCATTTGCATTGTGAAGGAGAATTTTTACACAAAAGAAAAAGTTTAGTACTAAAAATAAGCATTAATTCCTAAGACCACTAATTTGATTTCATAACATGGCGTTGTATCCTTTCACTATTGGCTGAATTTTAGCATGAAAATAGGGGAATCCATGCGATGTCACAAATTAGTTTATTATGAAGATGCTCGTTAAAACCTCACCATATTTAGCATGCAATTCACAAAAATGACTGTGACCACCATGAAGGATGACCATCATCTAGTCCCTACTGACATCCAAACTCCTACTATTTTTCAAAACATTACAATGCAATTCTTTTTGTAGAAATCAACAATAACTAAAAGTTCATAAGCCAACAGTATAAGATGAATAACAGTAACCAAATTGAGAAAAACAATGGAGTAAATTCAAAAATAAGAATCATTGCAATTTCCTTCAGGTCAGTATTAAGCTTCCTTGCTTCCATACAAATTAATAGATTGATGATAGGACCAAAATAAAAACAAAATTTAAAAAGATATTACTCAATCAATCATTTCAAACACAAAGCACGTATCCACCACTTGAAACAATCTCTTTCCAATGATTATGGAAAAGCACCCCCTTTCATTGATATTCTATCATTCCTACGATAAAGTTTTGCCAGTTTCTTGGCTACATCTCAATAGCCCTCTCTCTCACCAAAACCGCCACAAATTACACAAGTTACAAAACATGAACAAGAACACAAATAATCTGAACTCGACATGACTGAACACAACTATCAATCTCGTATAACAACTCTACTGCGCTAAACTTTCCATTTAACTCTAAATACTCTTCTTCTCCAAAATGTTCACACTTAACCAAATCAATTTTTTTTTTCTCGCAGAGAAAATTATTATAACTCCAAAAAAGAAAACCACATTATCACGCACCCTTCAATCAAATATCAACAACCAAACGAATTTCAAAACTAATCAACTCTTCAATATGCTCACATAAGTTTAACAACCCTGCCGAGAAAAGGAGAATTCTTTACTATACCTAGCAAGGGCCGGGACCTTCCTGCGCTTTGTGTCGGGGACGGCGCCATCACTGCCGTCGCCAGGATCCAATCCTCGCTTCTCCCTAGTCATCGTCCCCGATCTCTCAAGATACCTGCCCGGCCTCTGCATCTTGGCACCCCCAGCTAACGGAACTCCAGAAATCCTTGATTTGAGGAAAAGATCTCGCAGAGCTTGCTGAGAATAAGGCAATCTTTGCGCCGCCGCCACCAATCAAATCATCCAGCATAATCAAAAGACATATAGAGACTTCGGGAGTGTAAGATGTGGGATTTAGCCTCCCCTCTACGGTAGAAACCAATGAAAAGCTAGGAGAGAAGTAGAGAAGAAGAAACGCAGCGGAGTTGAAGGCGGCAGAGACTGTCCGGAGACTAGACTACTGGGTCGGAGGGCATTTTAGGTGGAAATTTAAAATATATCTATATTTTCCTTTGCTACATTTTTCATATAAACAATTTTGAAAAAAAAACCCTAACAAATATCGGTTTTGTAAATCTAAATTGATGATGTTGATAAATGCATAAAAGCAAAGTTGAATCCACTATGTGGGAAGATTCTACGAATGTGGGTTAGGCGTTGAACTAAAGTCAATCCAATGACATATTAAGATATATCATTAAAAAATTTATTTGATTAAATATATAATTTTATGTTTTAAATTTTTTTAAATTATATTTTTAGTATTTTTATAGTTGAAATATGCATTTTTTTCCTTTTTTTCCCCATTTTTATAGTTGAAATATGCATCTCAATTAAACAAATATACCAAGTTTAATTCTTGCTATTCTAACATAGTACTTGTTGCGGGCTAGAATATATGCGGCGATAGAGTTAGAAAGTACTCGTCTTAGTATTGTACGGATATTCGGCACACAAACTGAAGATGAAAGAACACCATAATTTTTACATGGAAAACCCTGGAAAGGGAAAAAACCACGTGGTCACGCCTAGTTGAAAATGTTTCACTAGTGTTTGCTTGAGATACTCGTCTGTAAAAGTTATGACGATCAGATTACAATGAATCACTTCTGGATTGAAATCCAGTTACAATGTCGGCCAGAGTTCCGGCGTCACTTGGAGATCGGGCAAAATTCTAGCGTCGCTTGAAAGTCGGGAATAATTCTGGCGCCATTTGGAAATCGGACAGAATTCCGACGTTGTTTGGAAGTCGGACAGAATTCTGACGTTCCGTGGAAGTCGGGCAGAATTCCGGGCGACGATGGTCGAGGAGGAGTATGTGACTTTCCCTACTTAAATTTAGCGCCCCTCTTTACTATAGAAATTGAAATGGGTGATCACGCGTCCACAAGAAATCCTCCAGCCAAAGAAGATCGCCCTATTGCTCGATCTGAGGGTTTAAAAAAGACTCACAAGGCGGTGAAGACCTATGATGTTTTCTCGGCTATCACTGACGATTCTTTCATTGCTTTTAGAAAAAAATTTATTTTCCTAATGATCTGGTGATGAAGGTATCGATAAGATCTGATCGTGCCCATTTTCCTCCTCCGAGATATGTGACAGTGTATGAATTTTGTTTACGAGCGGGACTACGATTTTTACCATCTCCTGAGTTGATTGATATTTTGACGATCTATGGAGTGAGTTTATCTCAACTTTTTTATAGAGCCATGTCAATCAAAATGGGACTGATCGTACTTTTTAGAGATCGTGGAGTGGTGCTATCTTCGGAATGCCTTTCTCGAATGGGGCGTCTTATTAGTGATATGTAAGGTCGTATCTCTTTTAGATCCAAGTGGTTTAATATTCGTACTCGAGATCCATCAAAATATTAGATTAGCGACTTCTTTTTTGTGCAAAATGACTGGAATCTCCAAGAAATATGATAAAAGTTGAAGGACTTATTCATTCCCTTACATATTGGAGCAGAAGTTTTATTGACAATACTCAAACTTCCTGATATTGATGCCCTACATTATAAGGTGTGTTATTTGAGCAGATATATAGACGAAGAATACTTGTTCAAGGTGGGACTATTTACTCAAGCAGGAAGAACGCATGCACAAATGCTAAAGAAGTCTGTGAAAGTTTCAAAGGCAGTTCCCCAACCTTCAAAAGTTTTTTCTAAATGACCAGGAAGTGAGGGTGATCTGTTGGCATCAAAAAATAATAAGGCAGGTGAAATTTTGGCAGTCACTATTAAAGGTCATCGTATATCTCCATCCAAGTCATATATTCCATAAGATGTTTTGAAATATCAGTGCATTGGCCGTCAACGGGCTAAAGGGTTGGTGAGTTCACCTTTTCTTCTTTCCTTTTATATTTTTTCAAAGGATATATCTCTTATAATTACATTTTTGTTGCTTTAGTTGGAGCGGCACACAGATTTCAAGCTTAAGATGCCTTGAATGTCTAGAACAACGAATTTGTAAATGTTAAATATCTTTAAAGAGAATATAAGAAGAAATATGATGGTAAAGTCAATGAGATAAAGGTGGTGGAGGAGCAGTTAATAGAGTGTAGAGCAGAGTTGACTAATAGGATAACTTCAGCCTCCTCACAGAATCAATAGATGGATTGTCTAAATATAGAGTTGGTGGATGCACAGGCGACGATCAACCAGTAGATGAAAGATCAACAAATTCTTGAAACTGAGAATAAGAGGCTCCATAGTATACTGTTAGAGAAGGAAGCCCAGTAGTTGCCATCTACAGTCATAAAAGAATTCAAAAAATCTTTTGTCTTCAAGATAATTATTGAGGATCACATTCAAGAAGCTCGTAATCATATTTATGATGTGGAGGTGAAGGCTTTAGTAGCAGAGTGTATAGAGGAGGGCTTCATCAAAGGTTTTATGAAGAGCGTGCGTGTGGTGCAGCGCAAAACTAGAGCGGATATCGAGGGGTTGACACCTAGCCAGGCTTCTAGTGACCCTTCTTCATATTATGGTGGTGAAGAACTAGAGAGTGAGTTACATAAGGCTTTTTCCCTCGAGGAGGAGGAGGATGATATTGAGATCCTATAGGATTCCTCTAATGTTATTTATACCACTTTTTTTTCTTTATGGTGATGAGTATATATGTGTTTGGTGTTTATAATTTCATATGATGTACTCTATGTTTAGTGATATATTAAGAAATTATTGATATTTCTCTTTTTTCTTCTCCAAATATACATATGAAATTGACTCAATTTTATTTCAATGAGAAATACTTTGGTGGTCTTTTTTAACTTGAGTGAATGGGAGAGATATCCTCCTTGGATATCTTGATCTATCTGAGGTTGTTAATCAAAGCATTTGCTTGATGATTTTTAACATGTATGAAAGAGGTCGAATCAAATTCCCCCCGGATTGATCATCCGGTGATTTGAGATATAATGCAGATTGTATATTTCTCAAATCATAGATAAAGAGTTTGTGGGATTTTTATCTTTTAAAAGAGAAGATAATATCACAACAAAGTGAACATCACATTATTGTATTATATAAGACAGTATAATAATTCCTTAATATAACTTAGGGATACGAAGGCTAGAAGAGTTCTACCCCAATCAATACACAAGGGATAATACTTGAAGGATATAAAGCATAACCACTTGGGGGACATAATACAAGACAAATACTATCAATAACATAACACAAGATAAATAGTATTATTAACACCTACTGATAATACTTATGAATGTTGCTAACATTCCAAGTTTGGGGGAGCATTTTTCCACTAGCATCTTTCTGTTTTAAGGTTCCAGGTTTGATCATAGCTACCACAAAATAAGGACCCTCCTAGAGGGGGGAGAGCTTGTTGCACTTAGAGCCTTTTCCAACAGCTTTGATGCTCTGTAAAATTAAGTCCCCAATAGAGATAGGTTGAGGTTTCACCCTCCAATTATAGTGACGAGCAATCCTTTGGTGGTATGCAGTATTCCTGAGTGAGGCTTCATCTCATACTTCTAAGAGGAGATCCAAATTTGTTCTAAGTCTCTCCTCATTATTATTGAAGTCAAAAGTCTGAACTCTATTGCTAGGGACTCTACTATTAACCAGTATGACTGCTTCTGTACCAATATAAAGGTTATAAAGGGTTTCTCCTGTAGGAGTTCTAGTAATGGTTCGATAAGCCTAGAGGACATTTGGAAGTTCTTCAACCCATTACCCCTCAGCCTTTTTTAGGCGTTTCTTTAATCCTTTCAAAATTGTTCGGTTTGTAACCTCTATTTACCGATTTGCTTGAGGATGAACGACATCTGTGTGGATGAGTTGAATGTGACAATCTTTATAAAAAGAGATAAAGATTTTTCTAGTAAACTATGTCCCGTTATTAGTGATGACCTTTGCAAAAATGCCAAAATGACAAAATATATTCTTTCATAAGAACTATTTGGCATTTGCTTTAGTAATCAGTAATCTTCGCCAAAGGTTCTGCCTCCATCCATTTGGTGAAGTAAATTACAGCCAGGATAATGAATTTTTGTTGTCTAGTGGATATAAAGAAGGATCCCATTATATCAATCTCCACTGCGTGAAAGGTTAGGGGCTTTAAAGTGATGCAAGCTTTAGAGCAGGTGCATGGGTAATATTGGAATGCAATTGATAGTTTTTGCACTTTTAAATAAACTCAAATGTGTCCTATTTCATTGTAGGCTAATAGAATCATTATCTCATAATCTTGTAAGCCAATGCTCTTCCTCCTAGATGTTCTTCACATACTCTTAAATGAACTTCTTGGAGTGTGTAACTATCTTCTGATGGTGGGAGACACTTGAGATATGGTCCGATGAAGACGTGTTTATACAACTCATTATCAATAATGATGAAACTTTTTGCTTGTCTCCGAAGTCATGTTGCAGCCATGGGTTCTTCAGGTAGTGTCCCATCCTGTAAAAATGATAAGATGGAATCGATCCACGACGCCTCTCTTGGTTCATGATTGATTGAATGACCCACGGATCTTGGATACTTAGAAAGTGGATCTCCTTGATACACTTTCTTTTATAAACATCTCTTATCATTGAAGTAGTAAGTTTATAAAGAGTATCTGCTCGCGTATTTTGCTCTTAGAGAATATGGATGATCTGATGCTCTCTTATATGTGTTAAGAGCAACTTCACAATGATACAATACTGGGCCAGTTGTGGATTGTGGATATCTTACTCCCCCTCCACCAAAGAGGCGACTAATTGTTAACCAGAGTGGACTACTAAGTTCTACACCTCATAATCAATTGTTAGTCTTAATCTAACAATAAGGACCTCATACTCTATTATGTTGTTTATTATTGGGAACTTAAGTTGGAGCTCATACTCAAGGGTAACTTTATGCGGAGAGATCAACAGAATTTTGGCCCAAGTGCCGAAACTTCTAGAAGCTTCATCAACATATAACGTCCATCATGGAGGAGAAGCTGAAGCACTTGGTTGAATATTGAACATTGGGATGGTGCATT